GGGGAGCAGAAGGAGAGAGAGCACGAGCAAGGAACTCAGGACCACGAGGGGTACACCCACACACTGAGACAATGGGGATGTTCTATTGAGAACTCACCAAGGCCAGCTGGACTGGGTCTGAAAAAGCATGGGATAAAACCGGACTCGCTGAACATAGCGGACAATGAGGACTGCTGAGAAGTCAAGAACAATGGCACTGGGTTTTGATCCTACTGCACGTACTGGCTTTGTGGGAGCCTTAGGCTGTTTGGATGTTCACCTTACTAGACCTGGAAGGAGGTGGGAGGTCCTTGGACTTTCCACAGGGCAGGGAATCCTGACTGCTTTTCAGGCTGATGAGGAAGGGGGAGTTGATTGGGAGAGGGGGAGGGAAATGGGAGGCGGAAGTGGGGAGGAGGCAGAAATCTTTAATAAATAAATAAATATTAAAAAAGCTTAGAAATAAAATTGTTTGACATGAAAAGCTCCGTGTCAGTGGCTAGGCAACTCTGTTAAAGGTTACACTGAGCAGGAGATGGTCCCATGTCCTCTCTGACTCTCTTCTTGTAAAAATCTCTTCAAGAAAATGGATTTTGTCCTAAGAGTCTTGACAGCTTTACCTGTCAGGATTGCTTGAAGTTTTAACTCAAAGTAGAGGGGAAAATCTTTATTATGTTGTGGTCCCCAAGCATCCAGAGTAGACTTAACGCCCAAGCAAATGAGTCTTTCTCTCTCTCAACAAAGTCCTTCCCCATCATGAATAAATTGCAAATATTCTTGTGAATTCTCTAAGATTGTTAATTAAAATCTACTTGATTTAAAAAACCAAAACAAAAAAACCCCCAACCCCCCCCAAAAAATGGAATAACTACCTGAATCTTATCAGATCACCATGGAGTAAAGTTAGAATTTAAGAACAATTCCACTCCCTGAAAGCCTACAAATTCATAGAAACTCAACAGTCAACTACTGAACCACCCCTGGGTCAAGGAAGAAATAAACAAAGAAATTAAAGTCTTCGTTGAATTCAACGAAAATAACGACACAACATATCCAAACCTATGGAACACTATGAAAGCATTGCTAAGTGTCCACATAAAGAAAACAGAGAAATCTCACATTAGAGACTTAACAGCACACTTGAAAGCTCTAGAAAAAAAAAAAAAGAAGCAGACTCACCCAGGAGGAGTAGAAGACTGGAAATAATCAAACTGAGGGCTGAAATCAACAAAATAGAAACACAGAAAACAATCCAAAGAATCAATGAAACAAAGAGCTGGTTCTTTGAGAAAATCAACAAGATTGACAAACCCCTATTCAAACTAATCAAAAGGCAGAGAGAGAACACTCAAACTAATAAGATCAGAAATAAAATGGGACATAAAAGTGACACTGAGGAAATTCAGAGAATCATTAGGTCTTACTACAAAAGCCTGTATGCCACAAAATTGGAAAATGTAAAAGAAATAGATATTTTTTAGATAAATACCATATACCAAAATTAAATCAAGACCAGGTGAACAATTTAAATAGACCTATAAGTCGTGAGGAAATAGAAACTGTCATCAAAAACCTCCCAACCAAAAAAGTCCTGGACCAAATGGTTTTAGTGCAGAATTCTACCAGAACTTCCAAGAAGACCATGAAGAGTTAATACCTATACTCCTCAATGTGTTTCACATAATAGAAACAAAGAGTCCTTGCCAAGCTCTTTTTATGAGGCTATAGTTACACTGATACCAAAACCACACAAAGACTCAACAAAGAAAGAGAATTACAGACCAAACTCATTCATGAACATTGATGCAAAAATTCTCAATAAAATACTGGCAAATTGAATCCAAGAACACATAAAAAAAATCATCCATTATGATCAAGTAGGCTTCATTCCAGGAATGCAGGGCTGGTTCAACATACAAAAATCTATCAAAGTAATCCATCATATAAATAAACTGAAAGAAAAAAAAACATATGATCATTTCATTAGATGCTGAAAAAGCATTTGACAAAATTCAACACCCCTTTATTATAAAGGTCTTGAAGAGATTATAATAAAAGCTATTTACAGCAAGCTGACAGCTAACATCAAATTAAATGGAGAAAAACTCAAAGCAATTCCACTAAAATCAGGAACAAGACAAGGCTGTCCACTCTCTCCATATCTCTTCAATATAGGGCTTGAAGTTCTAGTAATAGCAATAAGACAATATAAGAAGATAAAGGGGATTCCAATCGGAAAGGAAGAAGTCAAACTTTCGTTATTTGCAGATGATATGATAGTGTACATAAGTGACTCCAAAAACTCTACCAAAGAACTCCTACAGCTGATAAATACCTTCATTGATGTGGCAGGATATAAGATCCGCTTATAAAATCAGTAGCCCTCCTGTATAGGATTAATCCTGTAAAGGATTAAGAGGCAGAGAGGGAAAATGGAGAAACATCACCTTTCACGATAGCCACAAATAGCATAAAGTATCTTGGGGTAACACTAACCAAGGAAGTGAAAGATCTATTTGACAAGAACTTTAAGTCTTTGAAGAAAGAAACTGAAGAGGATACCAGAAAATGGAAGGATCTCCCATGCTCTTGGATTGGTAGGATCAACAAAGTAAAAATGGCAATTCTACCAAAGGCAATCTATAGATTCAATGCAATCCCCATCACAATCCCCATCAAAATCCCAACAAAATTCTTCACAGACCTTGAGAGAACAATAATCAACTTTATATGGAAAAGCAAAAAACCCAGGATAGCCAAGCAAAAAACCCAGGATAGCCAAAACAATCCTATACAATAAAGGAACTTCTGGAGTTACCATCCATGACTTCAAACTCTATTACAGAGCTACAGTAATGAAAACAGCTTGGTATTGGCATAAAAACAGAGACGTTGGCCAATGGAATCGAATTGAAGACTCAGATATTAATCCACACACCTATAAACACCTGATTTTTGACAAAGAAGCTAAAATTATACAATGGAAGAAAGAAAGCACCTTTAACAAATGGTGCTGGCAAAACTGGGTGTCAACCTGTAAAAGAATGAAAATAGATCCATATCTGTCACCATGCACAAAACTCAAGTCCAAATGGATTAAAAACCTCAATATAAATGTGACCACACTGAACCTGATAGAAGAGAAAGTGGGAATTAGCCTGCAATACATGGGCACAGGAGACCACTTCCTATGTATAACCTCAGTAGCACAGACAATAACAGCAACAATGAATAAATGGGACCTTCTAAAACTGAGAAGCTTCTGTAAAGCAAAGAACACAGTCATTAAGACAAAAAGGCAACCTTCTGAATGGGAGAAGATCTTCACCAACCCCACATCAGACAAAGGTCTGATCTCCCAAATACATAAAGAACTCAAGAAGCTAGACATTAAAATTCTTAATGACCAATTAAAAATGGGGTATTGAACTGAACAGATAATTCTCAACAGAAGAATTTCAAATGGCCAAAAGATACTTAAGGACAAGTTCAACTTCCTTAGCTATCAGGGAAACACAAATCAAAACAACTTTGAGATACTATATTATACCTGTCAGAATGGCTAAAAGCAAAAACTCCAATGATAAACTATGCTGGAAAAGATGTGGAGTAAGGTGAACACTCATCCATTGCCAGTGGGAATACAAACTCATGCAACTATTTTGGAAATCAGTGTGATGGTTTCTCAGAAAATGGGAGTCAACCTACCTCAGGATCCAGCAATACCATTCAATCATTCTACAAAATCATTTGTTCAACTATGTTCATAGCATCATTATTTGTAATAGCCAGAACCTGGAAACAACCTAGATGTCCCTCGATGAAAGAATGGATAAAGAAAGTGTGGCACATCTACTACTCAGCGGTAAAAAACAATGACATCTTTAATTTTGCATGCAAATGGATGGAAATAAAAAAACACTATCCTGAGTGAGTTAACCCAGACCCAAAAATATGAATATGGTATGTACTAATTCATTAGTGGATTCTAGCCATAAACAAAGGACATTGAGCCTATAGTTAGTGATCCTAGAAAAGCTAAGTAATAAGGTGAACCAAAAAAAAAAAAAACCAACAACCATATATAGATCCTTCTGGAAACTGGAAGCAAACAAGATCACCAGGCAAAAGTTGGAAGCATGGGGGTAGGGGTGGGTGGGGTGGGATAGGGGGAAAGGGGGAAGGGGAGGGTCTCAATGAGGGATTGTACATATTGGGTTGCCCTGGAAAGTCTGTGTAGGCATTGTCTTGATTGCCTTAATTAATATGGAAGATCTTCCCTAAATGTGGGTGTTACCTACTGGTAGTAGCCAGACCTGGAAGAAGGAAAGCTTTTTGTTTACTTGGTTTTCACTCTGGCTGACAAATTCATCTATCCAATTGCTCTTACCATTGCTAGTTCCTTCTGTGGTATTAGAACAAGCTTCTTCAGCCTTTCAATGTGTACTGAAGAGAAAGAATCTACCAGATCCTTGGCATAAGATTGTATTGTTGTAGTACTTAGACACCTGGATTGAGGAACTACTATATTCTTGGCTTTTCCAATAGAGACAGCCATTTTTGAACCATTCTGATTGTATTGCATGTGGTAATCTAATAAATTCATTATATATATATATATATATATATATATATATATATATATATATTCTATCAATTTTGTTCTTCTAGAGAACATTACCATGTACACCAAAGGCAGAATTCTGAGCTAAGGGATAGTGACAAGGTGCTAAATGGATTTTTTCATGCCTTTTAAAGTATAAACATAAATGTGTGGCTTCTTGCCCCAGCAAGCCTCTTTCCATCTGGATGCAGTCCCTACCATCCATGTATAAAGCAAAGTAAATAACAATTCAGGGAGAAATAGCAGAGTCCCAAGGATACTGGGATTAGTATCTCTCTTTGGCTTTATAGTGGACTAATGCAACATACTGACCTCTTTGCCAACATCTTTGACATCTGGGTGTAATGGGAGAGAAAGGCTTTGGGAACTGCAGATGTATGCTGTGAGGGTCACTCACCTGAATGTAAATAGGGTCCCCATGTCCAACATTGACAGAAGCTCTGCTTTTGACTTAGGGAAAGAGAGTCGGTATCGCAGTGTCTCGAATGCGGGGACAATCATCGCTTTCTTCGTGTTGGCAAGGTCAAGCTGGATAACAGACTTCCTGAAAGAGATGCAAAGAGAGATATAAGGTGCCTTTGATGTCAGGTCAAGCCTCTTCCTTGTGAGGATAAGCTGATGGTAGTCCAGGAAGGTTAAGCAACTGTTCAAATGCCTCATGCAGAGCACAGAGAGGAACTGACAGATTATCATTGCTAACCGAGAGCACGCTAAACGGTAGAGGCTGGGTCTACTGCCCACAAAATTGCAGAGTGCACTACTATCACAGCCAGGAATAGAAGGGGGAAATCTCAAAGGACCTATGTCTACCTCTTCTACAACACTGCAAGTCATAGAAGACCAGGGATACAAAGCCAATGAGAGGAAAGACCACCCATGACCCCTCAACTCTGGGATGATCCTGATCCTGAACCTGCAAAGTATATGGCCAGCACCGGTCAAGGTAAGTCAGAAGGCTGATGGATTACATGGAAGAGTTCTCCAACTTCATTGACTCCTCAGAACCTGGCTCCTTCCCCCGAGTTGGACTGTTGGCTACCAGTTCCAACACTATCTCTTGGAAAAGGCAAAAGGCTCAGAGATGGCAGTATAGCATGATACTTTTAAGAAATACAAACTGCATTTGAATTCTGGCAATGTTACTTTGAGTCTTGTCCTGGTCAAATAACTGAGCTCAGTTTCTGACAGACTTCCTGAACTACCTCACGTTTCTCCTGCCCAGAATTGTGACAATAATGCCTGCCTACCGTAGATGAGGTAATATCACACCAAGCAGTACACATGGCAGGATGCAAGTATGCAGTGATAAATAGAAAGTATCATCTGCAGTCTTGTCATTATTCTGTGGCCTGATCTACTTTTGGCTATGATCTTAGTACTTCATTTTGTATATAGTCACACCACTGACTTAGGATCTTGATGCACTCATGGACCTTCTGCGTCTATTTCTACAATAGAAAAAACAGCTGAAAGGCTTGAGGGAATGGTAGACACTGGAAGGCATTTTGAAAAATCCTGGGAGAAGCAGCCTTCATAGCCATGTGAAGCCACTTCACTTAACAAAACTTGGAGTCTGAACTTAAAGTCTGGACTAGAGATGATGTTCAAAGAGAAGTCACATGCTGTTTTAGTCACTGGGTTAACCTGGTCCAAGGCAGAGCAGAACAGGGCCACAGGCTGAGAGGCATATAGTCAGGACTTTATAACAATTAATGGTGATAAAGACTATGGACCAGGACAGATAAGGACAGATTTCTGAGACCATCATTTTAGTCTTATGAGACTTTGGTGAATAGATAAGAGGTGTTCAAGAAGTAGCCTGGAAGCTCATCTTGGAATCCCTTGAATATCACTATATTAAGCCCTTATAATTACAGTGATACACCCCACATCACTACTACAGAGGTTTATAAAGGATGACAGAAGACAGATGTCTGTAAACTATACTCAGCAAGTCTGAGAGTCATGGGTGTCAGTCAGTCTGTCTTGGCCTGCATTCTTCTCCCCCTTGTTTGTCTGAACAATGTTGTCAAATAACTACAGTTCCTTCCTCTGTGGCCAGATACCTAGAATCAGGCTTTTGTATTAAACCTACATTATATACACAGTTGAGCCTAAAAAAGGTATGGACCTACTTATCTACTTTAGATGTGAAATAAGAATCTAAGTCTAAAGAATATTTTTGGGTCCCTGGGACTCTAGGCCATAAAAATGTTGGGGGATAGAGTAGCTTGAATGTAATTGACCCCAATAAGCTCACTGAAAGTGGCACTATTAGGAAGTGTAGCTTGGTTGGAGTAGGTGTGGCCATGTTGGAAGAAGTGTGTCATTGCTGGAGCAGGGTTTGAGGTCTGCTATGCCCAAGATATGCCCAGTGTCTCAGTTCACTTTCTGTTACCTGCAGATGAAGATGTATTAACTCTTAGCTCCTTCTTCAGCACCATGTCTGCCTGCATGCATCCATATCCCGCCATGATAATGGACTAAACCTCTGAAACTATAAGCCACCCAATTAAACATTTTCACTTATAAAAGTTGCTGTGGTCATAGTATCTCTTCATAGCCAAAGAAACCCTAAGACACGAGATATTGTTACTTAGTCAGTGGTCACTGTACATCCACCCATCACGTGCCAGCTACAAAGAAATACAGCCACCACACATTGCCCAGATAGTACTTACATGACGGCATAAATGGCTCTATATGCTAAAAGTCTGAGGACAAAGATCTCTAAATTTGAAGCAAGACTGCATCTGTGGAAACTTAAGTCATAAATTGCATGAAAGTAGAGTAGGAGGTGGGGAGGGCAAAATTATGACGGGAACAGGAGATTCATTTATATGCATATATAAACATGAGGTTCTCTATATAAGCCCCAGTTATTATTGCAATCACAGTGACTAATATATATGTGTGCTTACATATGCATGGGTGCATTGTGTGTAAGCCAGAGGTCAGGCTTGGAATATCTATCATTCCTCATTCCAACTTGTGTTTGGAGACACTGTCTCTCATTGGGAACCAGAGCTTGCCAATTAGGTTAAGTCAGCAAGCTCCAGGGTTCACCTGCTTCTGCATCCCCAGTGCTGGGATTATAGGCATACACTACTACATTCAGCTTTTTCTTATTTAATTCTCAGATCAAACTCAGATCCTCAAGCTTGCCCAGGAAGCCTCTTTTCTGACTGAGCTTTTGGTCCCCACTTGCAGCTACCCTAAAAATGTCATGCTCAAAACTAATTCTCCTTTCTAAAGGACTATTTATAGCAGCAGCCCTCAGAGCTTGCCTGCTCTGTCTAGGGGTATACACTCAGCCTAAGGCGATTTATACAGAAACAGAGCCTGGGAGACCACACAGATGACTTTGTTGGGGCTCTGCAGGTTTTTGAACTTCTGTTGCAAAGATGCCCAGAGCTGCTCATCTTAACTTTGTCTCACTGCACTGGCTTTCTGATTCTGCTTTGATTCCATTAGAAGATATTCACCCTGTGATTTATTTTTACTATAATTATATTCTTATAACAGAATCTGTTACTCATAATCAAACACTAATGGATATATTGCAACAAACAGACCCAATGCGCAGCATACCTTATAAATAGGCTCTGGTTAGCTCCTTTCCCTGCACAGAGAGTATCTGCTTCTGCAGTGATTTCTGCACATTTCTTTGATCTCACTGAAACACAAACTGCCACAAGGATAGCTCTGTTCCCAGATAAGTTCATTTTGGACTCAGTTCAGAAGTTTTCAATTTTGAGGTTCTGAAAAGGTCTCATTAAGGAAATTGTCTCAGCAGTATAGTGGTTGCAGGGTCTACACTCTGAACATTTCAGTTGAGTGGGATAGTAACTATGGCCTGGGCCCTGCTGCAGTGTGCCCTGTTGATACATCCTATCTTGGCTGGGACATGCTGGCTCAGGGGCAAATAATCTGCCACCATCATTTGCCTGTAAGATGAGTCATGCAGTGACTACAGAATTTTCCAGAAGCAGGGTTGTGATGATGGTACATCTGGGTTGGGAGACTTGAGTTATATAAATGGCCCCCCAAAACTAAGTGACTTTGGATCACTCCGTACATCTCCTTTCTACTGCTGAATCTAGACTGTTAGAATTGAAGGTTTTGTATTTTCCTGTTGAAAAACTTCACTGGATCACAGCTGTCTTCTTGAACAAGTAACATTGGATGAAGGTATTTGGTATATGTATTAACATCTTCATCACTTGATCTTAAGGAAATCAGCTAACCCTTAATAACATAGTCAATTAGTTGAAGAATGCAAAAGCCAAGTTTTCTTAAAAAAAAAAAGACTGATGCCTCAGGGCTGTAACAGACACTAACTGTGATTCCACATGGAAGCCTGCTGTACCACATTCAAGCTTGCCAATTTCAAAGTCTTGCCAACCCTTAAAGTCTGCTTTTCTATATTCCCATATCCGCCCATTTATCCATATCTCTGCATCTCTTTTTCATGTAGAGTACTGAGTGACATGCATTGCTTCTTGTTTAAAACATTTTCAAAGTATTCATAAACTTCCTGCAATAGTTTGGGTTGAGGAACATTTTTGTATCTACCTAAATGGTGGAGGGTATACTACTGATAAAATGGAGAACACTGCAGAAGAGGTGCTGTCTTCAAAGCTTGTCTGCCTCTCTTCTGACCTTTTAGATACTTTTTACTACCTGTTTCACTCATTGAGTCCCTATCTGAAAACACAGGCAGTGACACTATTTCTTTGCTCTCAGAGTTTTAGAGACCAATGGAGAGTTTGTCTTCTAGTAGTGAGTCCCCTCTCTTTCCTAGTCTCAACTTACAATGGGCTTGAGGTAGGAGAAAAGGAGAGCATGGACCATTCAAAAGAGAGGCATACTGTTAGAGCAAGGGCAGATTTCTGGCTTTTTTTTTTTATGGAAATAAAAAGTATTAACCTTTCGGTTTCCAGCCAGCATTTCTCTCTGTTCAGTTTTTCTCCACACCCTTTGCCTTAGAAATAGATGTTTCTGTAACCAGGAAAACCGCCCAAGTTGTAGCATGAGATTTATGGGCAGGGGTACTTCATAGAAACAAGGGACAACTTATCACTGCCCTCTTAGAATATCCTAGAATGTCTTGATGGTGAAGACAAGGCTGTAGAACCTGGTGCTTAGCTAGTATTCTGCTGAATCATTCAACCTGTTTGTTATGTACAACATAGTCTCCCAGAAGGGTAGTTCTGCTGCAGGTGCCTTCAGATCCAACCTAGACATTCACCAGCTGGTACTCTTGAGCAAGCCCTGAGACCCCATGGTTTGGTAGGTAGGATATGCACTTAGTGTGTACTCTGTAGGGTTTTGTAAGGATCGAATGGGTATCCTCAGGCAAAGGTTAAGATAGCTCTCAATGCATAGATCTCTATGTACAATCTGGGTTGACGATTGTGGTCATAGTGATGAATTTGGACATGGGCATCTTGATCAATTAGCAGGCTAAACAGAGAGCACTTCTGGAAAAGCTCACAGGGAACTAGATTTTCAGGTAGCAATGCTGAGCCCCGAGGTGGGGGA